GTAAGTTTTGGTACTAGTCCTGTTCAGAGGTCCGAAATCTATATCTATCAATTACAAGGACCGAACGGTCAACTTTGTAATCAGTTGTTGGAATCAATAGGGTTTAAAATGATTTATTTAAAAAAATTAAACCCCTTTTTGTTGGAAGAGTCTGGTACGTCGAACTTTGTTATCAATGAAACAAAAAGATCACCCTTTTTGTTTCATAATATAGCAAAAGAGAGGATTGATGCATTGCTTACTAGACCAAAATATTTTGATGAAAAGGCTAATGGGTTTCATCCCATGAACCTATTTGAAAGAAGTTCACTTATATCCGCTTTTTATAAAGCAAATAGACTTCGCTTCTTTAATATTCGCCCTAACTCTAACTTTTGGTTAGATTGTAAGAGAAGATTTCCATTTTCTGTGGAAAGGACTCGGAATACTAATTCGTATTTTCTCTATGAGCAATTTCTAAATAGCTTGTTCCTTGGGAATCAAAAAGTTTCTTTAGGTGGTGGGAAAAAAAGACAGGTTTTTGGGGATAGAGCTACTATTTCACTAATTGATTCCTTATTTAAGGATTTTGCCAAAAATGGTGACCCACGGTATAACTTTGAGAATTTTTTTAATTCTGTAAGGGAATCCGATCCAGTCATGCCTAATTTGATTCTAAATACTTTTGGAACATCTTCTACAGAGGAAGAAATAGTCAATTTGGAAACAACTTATTGTCAACCGTTTTCAGATCTAAATAGAAATCTATATGATTCAGAAGAAAATCACTTTCAAGAATATCCTAATTTTAATTTAAATATGGATATGGATTTGGTTGACATTCCCTGTTCTTATAAATATTTTTCATTTCAAAACAAAAAAAATCGAAAAAAAGGCGCTGTGTTTCAGAAAAGACGGATGGCAACAACTTTTCATAGAGAGAATTTTTTTTCCATTTTATCAGAAAAATTAAATCTTTTCCAAATGAATTTGCCAAACTTCTTTACTTTGACAGGGTACAAATATCTCTATTCTCTATTGATAGATATAGTTTCAATATTAAATAGTAGGATATCTATTTATTGGGAGATTTTGTATTTATTATGGCAAATTTTTAAGATGAAATTGTTGCCCTTTTTTATAACAAGTGAAATCTCAAGTAAGTGGTTACATAACCGTCTTCTAGCTAATGAAAGGTTGCAACGAAATACTAAAACATCAACACATTTTAGATCACCAAGTGGTTGGGCTTTTTTCGTTTCAACGCTTTTCCTTCTTATTGGTGTTGGTTATCTTGTTATTATAAATCTTGTCTTTGTTTCTCGATCTTTGAGGGAGTTAGATATCAAGTTTAAAAGATTAAAACCTTTTCTAATTCCCTCATATCTAATTGAGTTTCAAAAACTTGTAGATAAATATCCTATGTGTGAATCAAATGGGTTTTGGTTAAATAATATATTTATATTTGGCTTTAACCAATTCGTACGTTTGTTAGAAGGAATCCAAGGTTTTGTTTTCGGTCTCAACAAGATTCATCTTACTTTGAAAGTGAAACCAAGACGTTTGACGAAGAAATCTTTCAATATCCTTGAACAGATAACTGGAATTGCTGTTTCTATAAATAGAAATATGCAATATATCAGTTCTATCAGTCCTACAAGTAAAGAGCTCTATTCATTGATAAGAAAAAGAGAAAACGTGAAGGCGAATTGGATTGATGATCAAATAGAATCCTGGATCGTAAACAGCGATTCAATTCATGAGGAAGAAAGACAATTTTTGGTTCAGCTAGCCACTTTAACAACAGAAAAAAGAATTCCATCGAGTCTGACTGACAGGGATCATTTCTTAAAGAATGACTTAGGTTATCCAATGATTGACCAACCGGGAGCAATTTATTTACGATACTTAATTGACATTCATCAAAAGGATCTAATGAACTATGAGTTTAATAGATCTTTTTTAGCAGAAAGACGCATATTACTTGCTCATTCTCAGACAATGACTTACCCACAAACTTCGTATGCTCATTTAGCATGTCGTGGAAAGCCTTTTTCTCTCCGCTTAGACTTATCCCCCTCTAGAGGTATTTTAGTTCTCGGTTCTATAGGAACTGGACGATCCTATTTGGTCAAATACCTAGCAACAAACTCCTATATGCCTTTCATTACGGTATTTGTGAATAAGTTGCGAGATAAGAGTCGTAAATTTATGACTGATTTCTATATTGATAATAGTATCAATATTAATGCTAGTGACGATATCAATCTGACTAAGAGCGACAATATTGATGACGATAAGAATTTTGACCTTGCTACCGAGCTGGAAATCCTAACTAGGATGAATGCGCTAACTATGGATAAGGAGATGAAGGCTGAAATAGACCGATTATCTATTACCCTTCAATTTGAATTAGCAAGAGCTATGTCTCCTTGCATAATCTGGATTCCAAATATTCATAATCTGGATGTGAATGAGTCAAATTCCTTATCTCTTGGTCTATTAGTTAACCATCTCTCAAAGAATTGTGTAAGAAGTTCTACTAGAAATATTCTTGTTATTGCTTCTACTCATATTCCTCAAAAAGTGGATCCCGCTCTAATAGCTCCGAAAAGGTTGAATACGTGTATTAAATTACGAAGGCTTGTTAATCCACAAAAAAGAAAGTACTTTTTTACTCTTTCATCTACTAGGGGATTTTATTTGGAAAAGAAACTGTTCCATAGTAACGGATTCGGGTCTATAACCATGGGGCCGAATATAGGAGATATTCTAGCACTTACCAATGAGGTTCTATCAATTAGTATTACACAGAAAAAATCCATTATAGACAATAATACAATTAGAGCCGCTCTTCATAGACAAACTTGGGATTTGCAATCACAGTTAAATTTGGTTCAGGATCATGGGATCCTTTTATATCAGATAGGAAGGGCTGTAGCACAAAATTTACTGATAAGTAATTGCCCCGTAGATGCTATATCGATCTATCTGAAGAAGGAATTATGTAATGAGGCGGATTCCTATTTGTACAAATGGTACTTCGAACTTGGAAGGAACATTAAAAAATTTACGATACTTCTTTATCTTTTGAGTTGTTCTGCCGGATCGGTTGCTCAAGATCTTTGGTCTTTCCCCCGAGATGAAAAAAATGGGATCACTTCCTATGCACTCGTTAAGAATGATTCTGATCTAGTTCATGGTTTATTAGAATTATTAAAAGTAGAAGGCTATCTGTTGGGATCAGAACAAAATTATGGATCTTCTTCTATTCTTGATCAGAGATTTCTATATGAAAACTACGAACAGGAGGATTTATTCAGTCACATAGTTTGGGCTCCTAGACTATGGCGTCCTTGGGATTTTCTGTGTAGCGAGCGGATCCTTTATGATCAAGAGGATGAGCTTCAAGAGAATGATTCAGAGTTCTTACAGAGTGAAACCATGCAGTCTAAGACACGAGATAAATCTTCCAAAGACAAAGGCTTTTTTCAAATAAGCCAATTTATTTGGGACCCTGCAGATCCACTCTTTTTCCTATTCAAAGAGCAGTCCACGGGATCTTTGTTTTCACGTAGAGAATTTTTTGCAGATGAAGAATTTTCAAAGGCGCTTCTTACTTCCCACACTTCTCAATGGGAGCATCTACTTCGATATAAAAAAACACACGATTTTATTATAAAGAAGAAGGAACAAAAGCACTTCAAATTTGTGAGTCATCGTCAGAGATGGCTTAGAAATAAGGGTTCATTTTCTAATGAATCTTTCTGTTCTAGTACTCTATCCGAGAGTTATCACTATTTATCAAATATGTTCTTGTCTAATGGAACACTATTTGATCAAATGACAAAGACTTTGTTGAGAAAAAAATGGCTTTTCCCAGATGAAATGAAAATTGGATTCATGTAACAGGGGAAAGATCGCGCGATCGCGATCCGCTGCCTAATTGCTTAAAAGAGCTCGGATCGACCAAATCGGTATTTCTATACAGATTTGATCGACCCGAGCTCTCTTCTTCTTGTTAAATTGCACATTCCAAGAGCATTCTCAATAGTATGCCTTGAAGAGGACTCGAACCTCCACGCTATTTAGCACGAGATTTTGAGTCTCGCGTGTCTACCATTTCACCATCAAGGCATCTTCAAAGTGAATCATATTGATCTATATCTAGTGCTAGTGTAATGTATGGAATGGAATAGATACCAAAGTTCGAGTATTCATAGTATTTTTTTATAATATTTATCTATTTTAATTTTATATATAGGGCCTATCATATAGGCCCGAGTTAGGTATCCAACTGCTTCTATGTTTCAGTATCCGAAGAATATTTTATCTATATCAAAAAATATCCAAAAAATGGACAATCAAACCTATTTCTCGATTCTTTACAAAACAAATAGAGCAAATAGAAATATTTAAAATGAAAGTCTCATTACGTTTATTCCTATTCCTAAATTGAATGGAATAACGGAGGGATTAGGAATCCATATCAATACATTTATTTAGTTTATTTAGATACGTTTTTAAAATTCTAAGTTCATAATCCTATTGGTCTATCCATATACTAGGTAGGAGTGAAAACGAAAACATTTTGGAGTTACAAATACAAATAGAATTTTGAAATACTTAGCACCACATCAAAACATTCTTACTAAAGCTTCTTTATATTTAATGTACTATAGGGATAGAGAAATGAATACAGTTCAATATAGTCAAATAAGAAATTGAAAGGTTTCGTTCAATTTGTTTGTTTGGAAATTGATTGAAAAGCTAAGAATTGGGTCGTCTTTCCATCGGAACAATAGGCCATTATGCTCATTACTAAACTTGTTGAAGAGATGAAATCTAACCAAGGTATTATCTTTTTTATAAAATGAAGTTTTCATTCTGTATATCTCCTAGCTCATGAATTAGTAACTGCTTCCAATTAAAATAAAAAAAAGTGCCAATTGCATGGTATTCACACGAGGTTCCTCTTTAAAAAAGTCCCCGAGAGAGTTTAGTTTATTCCTGATTTATGT